GGAGGATGCCGGGGAATCAAGAGGAAGTTGATCCAATTTGAAGTAGCCAAGTCAGGATCTATCAAGTAACCAGAAAAGCTCAGGATAGCAATAAGGAGTCAAAGGTATTTACCTGAAACCTTTTCAGAAACGAGCTACAGCTAAGATCTGAAGTCAAAGATTTTGGAGAGCAAAACCAGAGGTAGGATTTCTCGGTGTGCTCAATTCCCCTGCTCTATCCAGCAGTGTGCTCACATCGGTGTGCTCAACCCGCAGCTTTTGAATGTAGTACAGGGCTCAATCAATCTCATAGGTCTGCTTTGAATGTCAGTTCCTGGGGTTCTCACCCGAATAGCTAACCCGAATACTAGATAAGTGCAGCACACCCAATCGATTCAAGTGGACTTTCTCCTAGATTTCTTTCTCCAGCACACTGGTAGCTTTAGATGCCTTTTTGAGGCCTGTTTTCTAGAAAGAGTAAGGAAAAGAGAAGAGCTAAGGAAGAACTACCTACCCAGCCTAGCTATAAAGAGTCACCTTCGCAGATGCTGTTTAGCTGCCTTTAATCCATCGATAGCACAGTGCTGCATAACTACTAGGGTTCTCATCTGAAAAGAAAGCGGAAAGCCAGCACACTAGTGAGAGAGATAAGATCCCTCCCAGATGAAAGATTCTGAACATATAAGATACTCTTGAGGATTTGTTATCCGATACTTCTGAAACGGATTCTATCCACATTCTTCTCTAAAGATTTCCCGTTTGGAATATCGGTTGAAAATCAGATCAAAATGAAAAGTAGCCCTTTATTTGCATACCTAGCGCAGCAACATTGAAGTACTTAGGAATACTGCCAAGAATGAGACAAAACAGACCCGGTCGCAGCTACTAACTAAGGTCTTTACTTCAGTACATCACTTTCCTAATCTTTCTTCTTTCCTAGCGAAGCAACCTGGGGTATTACCACCTTCAAAGTCAATTATCGATTAAAGGGCCTCAGCGATACCGGTTTTTTCTAAGGGACTACCGGTTAAACAAAGGTGTGTTGATATGCCCTAGTTGAAAGGAAAGGTGCTTTAGTGTGCTCAACTCGACAGAATCAAAGGTTCACTAACCAAGCTATCCTACCATGATCAGAAGATCAGGAGATACCTAGGAATCGAGGAATCGAGATACCGAGTGAAAGCAATACAGCAGATAAGAAAGCTCATACAGGGATTCAAACAGTGCTCAGTGGAGAAAGTTCTCCCTTGTTCTCGGGGTAGACGGGTCACAGCAGAGAGAACCGGGTATGGGCATGGCTTCCCTTGTCTTTGCGAACGGGAGCTGCCCCCCAACACACAGGTTCTGGGTAGCAGGTTAGCAAGGAGTATAAATATCCAGATGCGAGCGTTCCCTTGTTCCCTCGTTCAATTGATACTTTTATACAAATACGAGAAACAAACAGATAGGAATCAAGCCTAGCATGCTCCCTATGAGAGAATGACTACTCTTTCCAGTTAGGGTTAGGAAGTTAGCAAAGAAGCCAATAACCGGGGTTCCCTAGGTTTGTTTGATCGCAAGCTAGAGTCACAAGGCCACTAACCAGGGTTCGCAGAGGAAGTAGGTTAGCAATCCCAGTGACAGATAGAACAGATTGGCATATTGACTCAGTTAGTAGAGGGAATACTCAGTAATATTAGGAGTCAAGATCAACAGAAACCAAATCCATTTATCCGGTGTTTGACAGACAATTCAAAAGTTAGGAAATAAGCCACTGTGAGACCAACCTCGAGGGTGCAGATGGAATCGTTTCACTTTTCGTCAATAATCCACATCATAGCCTCTTGGTCCGGGCGGTAAACAAGTACTTGATCTTAGCTTCAGTCTCTTTTGAATACGGCAAAGATTGAGTCGGCACGTCGTCTTTCACAAGACTCTCTTTCTTTTTTCTGGGTCTCCAACTGGGCTGATTGGATCCAACTCAGGCTTTGATTTAGCTGAGTGGGTCCCAGACTTCCATTTGCACAATGTAATGTTGAAGGAAGCCCGCTGACCGATGTAGCCACTAAAGGGAGATCCGGGATTCCAATCTATCATAGGCCTCTGGGAAATACCAAAAGAGTGTGCTGAAGGAAAGAAAAAGGATGGCACCTGTCCACTTACTACCTACACTTGCAACACTTGTTAGACTAAACCAGCACAGAGAGACAGAGAGGAATGAGGAAAATAGTGGATTGGAAACAGAGTGAGGGAAACCGGCACCCTACGCATAAGAGTGATCCTTACCCACTGGTACATGAGAGTGCTAACTTAGGAATGGAAGAGAAGGAAGACTGGCTAGTCATGCAACTGTCAGCCCAGCAAAGAATAGAGCACACTACAGTAACTCAACTACCCGATTCAAGCTACAAATGAGACAGACCACCTCGGACAGACAGCACATCCGGACAAAGAGATAGTTGTCTGAGCAGCAAACAAATGATTAAGTGTTCAGTGCAAGGAAAGCAAAATCAAGCACTGTTTCTTGCTGTTTTATGAGCCTTCTTGTCTGATTCCTAGTGTTGTTGCTTGCTGGCTAAACAGAGTTGCCTTCCACACGTGCACTGAAACCTGAGTCTGCTACTTGCCTTAGGCAACGGAGTCTCTTGCGGAGGGGAACACCCAACCCCTATTGGCCTGAACAACGGTGGCATAAAAGCCTTGGAACTAGGCTTTCGAGCGAAGGTTTGACAAGGAAAAGGTGGCTTCTATTTACTATTGACTATTTATGCGCGGGCCCACGGAACTACCTACCCAGCTTCTAAGGAATATCGGGCAAAGCCCTAAGCCCTACCCAAGCAAGAGTTGACTATTTCTCCTCAGCAGGAGCTCACTTCACCCCAGCAACTCCCAAGAGATAACATACTAGTCTGGCTTCTACATTCCTCAGATTGGCTAGGCATCCCATCTGAAATGACAGAAAACTGCCTTTCATAGATCCACCCTAACTCTTCAGATTCCTATCAGGAGCTTTATTGTAGCACACTAGTGTGAAAGCTTAGATCCCTCACATATTGGGTGTGCTTTTGAGGAACATACCAATCCTGATTCTATGGCCTGTTTCTTATACGGGAATCCCCTTTCTTGAATCCGTGATGTACTCAGGTTTTTGGAAATGATATCTCATTACAGAACTCGGGTCATAGAATCCAGATACTTACGCGTACACACGCACTATTAGTACGATAGAGGAAAAGAATCAAAAGACCCTTGCTTAGCTAGGAATACTGCTAAGGCTAAGTCCTTCCCTATTACTATTCCTAACAAAAGAACAAAGAAAGATGAAACCGAGAGGAGTCAAGCAGAAGGGTGTGCTAATTAGTGTGCTTGCACTAGCTAACCTGCTTCACCGGAATAGCATTATTCACTGCTAGCGAAGCAAGTTCTGGACCTCCTGTCGAACCAAAGAGAATAGCTGCCGATCACTTACTTTCTTTTTTTATTCCAGACAAATCAAAGAATTAGAGAAGCAGACTCGACAACCACAGCCTGTGCTGTTCACTATATATCTCAAGAGCTTTTTTCAATAGCACTAACAAGAGCTAACAACCAATACAGATTATATAGTGGAGCAGCACCCCCAAGCACAGACTTAGGAGAGTAGCCGTTCACTTCCTTCTACATGGTAGTGTGCTTCACCCAATAGAACCAGTTTACCTTACGAGACTTAGGAGACTCTGCCTCAGCCTGAGCACTACCCCTCTTAGCAACCTTCATCTTATTACCACCACTAAATGCCTCAGCGGCTGCCACAGCAAGGAATGCGAATAGTAACCCTTCTCATACTCCTGCTGAGGTTGATCAGACGGAGATTTGACAAATGCATCTCCACACCTTGATCTGGCACATACACCCTCCTAGCTGATAGATGCGAGGCTCCTTCTATCCCAAAGATAAGACCAGGTTCCAAACTTCCATCAAGGGAAGGTGCACTTTAGCTCTATTCCGTTTCCACAACGTGTTGGTTTCCCGCGTTGACCCCTAAACACTATGGTATGGCATCAAGGTCGGCAACCAAAAAGGGTCGGGCCTCAACCGATTGACTTATTTATAAAGGGAAAGCCACGAATATATATATAACAAGACAAGCACTTGCATACAGAAAGACCCCTTGCGCCTAGACCGATAGCCCACGTCTTCCACATAAGTAGTTGAGTTAACGCCCCTCTCTGGACAAGTGCTCGAGTCACTTCGAGGAACGCCTTCGTCCATAACCCTAGCTCGGAGAAGGAAGAGATAAGAGGGCCCTATGGAGAATGTGGTCAGAAATCCATAATAGAGTCCGACCACAACGACCGAATTGATTATCTTCATGCATAAGGATACTAGATTACCTAGTATAAAAGATTGAAAAACCATCACAAACCTCCCTTTTTTCTTTTCTATTTCAATTTCTGGATTATTATATGATGATTTTGCAACTTTCCATATATAGAAATAGAAAGAGATAGACTAGAAACCACATCTCTTATGTCAATGACACCAAAGGGATATTAAATGAATGGAATTGGGATATGGATGGAATATAATGAAATAGAGCCGCTTTGAGGTTCCCTATGAAATGAGGCATGGAACGGAGCCACTACGAAGAAGTTCCGGGGGTTACGAAGGAAACTTCGAGTTCATATTGGTCATGGGTTGAGAACGGGAATTGAACTCTATCAGATCTAATCTCCCGTTGTTCCTCAGTAGCTCAGTGGTAGAGCGGTCGGCTGTTAACTGATTGGTCGTAGGTTCGAATCCTACTTGGGGAGATTTGTTAGTTATCGCTTTTCTGACCTAACCGCCCCTGTCCTTCTCCTTTGTTTCTAAACTAGCTGAATCGTGTCAAAAGTGGGAAGTTGATTGTTGGTTTGGATTACTCACTCTCGTATAGGTGAACTTGCTTCGTGAAATTCTTAGAAAGAAGAAGGATCAACTGGGAATGAATGGGAAGACTGGAGTAGTATCTCTTCATTAGTCGGAAGGAATTGGTTTCCACTAGCCTCATTCGAAAAAGAAAAGAATCCGAACAAACAAGAAAAGGGTTTAGGTAAGATAGTGCGATGTAGTCCAATGGCTAAAGCTCTGCCAGCTTCTTGTAGACTGAACTCTCTTTAGGCTCCGAGTGGTTTTCGGGTGGGATGGTTGAAATTTGCTTCGCCACTAGTGGCAACGAAGTTCTTGGTAATTAAAAAGGGGGAAGGTTAACCATTCCACTCATTTCATTCATTCAGTGCCTGCGGTGAGGCGCGACCCACAACAAAAACAAAGGGGGAAAGCTTCTTTCTTAGAACTCATTGAGGGGGCCTCGGCCCGGGAAGGGGAGAGTGGCCGAGCGGTCAAAAGCGGCAGACTGTAAATCTGTTGAAGGTTTTCTACGTAGGTTCGAATCCTGCCTCTCCCACTTGTAGACTGAAGAGAAGAGAAAGGAGGCATTCGTCAGCGTAGGAAGGCCCACCGAGCGAAGCTCTTTCTTTTTTTGGCCGTGCCGAAAATTTGATCATATGTTAGTTAGAGAGGTTGGCGAACTACTACGATCAATAGATCCCCCATCTATATCCAATCCCAACGGGGAATAGAAGCGAGTCGCTTCCGGCTGGCTTGTAGTCCTAGTCTTTTAGCTTATGTAATGGTCTCCTACGCGCACGCGCCCGCCGGAATGCCTCCTTGTTTTCGTTTTGGAAGAAGCCAAGCCGATACATACAATATACGATAGGCGAAGGAAAGACCCCCATTTATTTCATAGCGCCTGGGCAAGTTTGATCGAGGATTGGAGAGTTTAGTAACTCGACTGAAAGGAGAGGTGGGAAGAAAAGGCTCGGGATGGATTTAGGAGTCTTTGTGCGAGCCGTATGCGGTGAGAGTCGCACGTACGGTAACGAGGGGGGTTCGCGTCTATACGTGTAGTGTGGTGGTTGGGCCTACCCACCCTATTTGTTCCATGATCTATGGGTCTACTGGAGCTACCCACTTCGATCAATTAGCCAAGATTTTGACCGGATACGAAATCACTGGTGCTCGATCTAGTGGTATTTTTATGGGGATTCTATCTATCGCTGTAGGATTCCTATTCAAGATCACTGCAGTTCCTTTTCGGGCGGCTGTAGGACGGACGGCCGCCTATAGGTGGTAGGGTAGGGTGGGTGGTACCGCTCAGATTGCGGCCAATCTTCCTAACCGCGCGCGGGCCGGGCTTAGAGCGAGTGAAACTCATCACTACCTCGTAAGGGCATTGAGACCATAGCATGTTACACGAGGAAAAAAAACCTTGTAGTGTTGTCACACAGCTGCCCGCCTAGAAGAGCCACTCGCTCTGTAGTGTTGTCACACAAGATAAGCACGCCGCCCGCCTGCTGGCCGGGCGAATCGAAGTTCTCTTCCGGCCAACTGTCCACCCAGTCAAGTGCAAAAAACACAGTAGAATCACGCAACGCACGCTGCTGGTGTGCTTCCTGCCCGCGAGGAAAGAAAGAAGAGCGACAAGGTTGAGTTCTGATTTGACTGTTTGCAGCATGGGAGCAGATTACCCAAAAAATCCCTGGGAACAATGAAAAAAAAAAAGATATCTCGGTAACAAAAACCATAGGGGGCTGTATTGGCGAGATCCAACGGTGAACAGCTGCCAAAAATGAAAACCGCCTGGAAGTCCGAGGACCTTTAGTACCGTACCCCCAAACCAGCAGCCTTCGCGCCAAGCAAGACCGCCCTTGTCCCTCCTCTCCTTTCAGTCGAGTTTGTGTTCACAACCTCTCCTTTTAGTCGAGTAAGAAATACCTCGGGAAGTAGGGCTCCTATTGACTAAAGATTGGTTCTTCGCTTTCCTTTAGAATGAAAGTAGCTATTAAGCCCCTACCTACAACTTACTTTGTTGGATTCAAAAGGCGAACAGCCCCCCCAACTAGTCGTATGGGGTGGGGTTCTTGTGGTAAGCTGCCTTGGATATGAGAAATTCCTAAAAAAAAGGAAAAGTCCGCTATTAGACGAAGATCTTCCTATCAATAGATAGGAATTAGTGTTCGATATAGGGGATAGGATCTATCTGCTCTCTCTTCCAAAAAATGGAGAGAGCAGATATAACGATATCAAATCGGAAGGATAGATAGACATCTAAAGAAAGGGATGTCTATTCTATTCCTCTTTTTTTTATAGAAAGAAAAGATATCTCGTTCATCTATCTTTTGTTTATTTATCATTGATTCTATCTATGAATCAAGTCGAATTCGTTTTTGGCCGAAGCCCCGAATGGATTGGATCGTTTCCGCCAACGAAATGAACGCGGAGCCCGTTCCGAATGCTTCTTCGATCCGGATCGCGAAGAGAATAAGATGCTGCTCCCCCTCCCTCTTTCTTTTTTCGCTTTGCTAATCTTCCCCTTCCCCTCTAACGGGGGCCAGGCGGCGGCGGGCGCGGGAGGCAAAAACCTAAGAGAAGACGCTCTTAGGTCCTTCTTTTTTCAGTGCAACATAGGAAAGCGCCCTCTTTTTGTCATCTCTGCAGTTTTCCATATTTGGTATTGAACGCATGGCGTAGCTAGGACCTTCAAATCATGTTTGAGCCTATGTTCAAACAAAACCCATCCCCCGGCTGGAAAGAATGCCCGCCAAGTTCTGATAAGGTCTCGACGAGCCCCGGAAAGGCTCGGCGAAGGAAGGGGGATGCGGCGGGGGAAGGAAAATTCGGAGATCGAGAGATTTTTTTTCTTGGCCGAGGATGGCCTACGGTGCGTGTTATCTGAAGGGAGCACGCTTTTTCGACCGCGGTGCTATGATTGCCGGAGCCTCTCCTCGTTCCGCCCGCTGGCCTATTGGGATAGCAGCCTGCGGGCTTTGCCTGCCCATTAGAATATAATCAAAAATTCCGGCTCGGCCCGGGAAAGCGCTGGCAACAACAGAAAGGAAGGGGTCCATGTAGCTGCTGCGCCCGCCCCTCTTCTTAGTCAATGGGGCAGCAGGTTCGGCATCTACTAGAAAAGAGAGAATCCACTTCAGATAACCACACCTCGGCTAGGCAGCGTGTGGAATGGCCGAGAGCGGACCTTTTTGGATATATAATCCAAGTCGAGAGTGGAGTTACAGGAACAGCCGTCTGATGGAAAAAAACTTTCACGTTCGGTTCAGAGAGCACTTTTTTCGTTGAGAATTCCTCGTTCCCTTTCGTGTGAATTCCCCCAGTGGCGAATTTCCAACTTTTGGGTCTATTCAATCTCTCGAGCCCCGAAGAAAACCCCCTCCCCCTCGGACTCCATATTCCTTTTGACTCTATATATGTGGGCACCAGATATCTATGAGGGTTCACCCACCCCGGTTACAGCATTCCTTTCTATTGCGCCTAAAATCTCTATTTCTGCTAATATTTTACGTGTTTCTATTTATGGTTCCTATGGAGCTACATTGCAACAAATCTTCTTTTTCTGCAGCATTGCTTCTATGATCTTAGGAGCACTGGCCGCCATGGCCCAAACGAAAGTCAAAAGACCTCTAGCTCATAGTTCAATTGGACATGTAGGTTATATTCGTACTGGTTTCTCATGTGGAACCATAGAAGGAATTCAATCACTACTAATTGGTATCTTTATTTATGCATTAATGACGATGGATGCATTCGCCATAGTTTCAGCATTACGGCAAACCCGTGTCAAATATATAGCGGATTTGGGCGCTCTAGCCAAAACGAATCCTATTTCGGCTATTACCTTCTCCATTACTATGTTCTCATACGCAGGAATACCCCCGTTAGCCGGCTTTTGTAGCAAATTCTATTTGTTCTTCGCCGCTTTGGGTTGTGGGGCTTACTTCCTAGCCCCAGTGGGAGTAGTGACTAGCGTTATAGGTCGTTGGGCGGCCGGAAGGTTGCCACGAATAAGTCAGTTTGGAGGACCGAAGGCGGTTCTCCGTGCACCGGACACGTAGCTTACCGAATCAGTTGCGACACCGATGGGAATGCATGCTACGAAAGATAGGGTCGAGTCTGATACATCAACCGTCTACTCAATATCCTTAGTAGAGTCCACAATCACTACACGAGATGAACCTTGGTTTGGTGAATTGAAGTTCGCCTTAGGTGTAATAGGACTCCCAGTTACTGCGCGCGATCGTATACTGAGGTGCTCCCCGCCGGTTGTTGGAACGACGCGAGCCGGGACGGGCCTGGATTCAGAAAGATGAAGGGCCCCAAAGTCTAAATAGGGGGTTACAAATTCCCCATCTTATTGGAGGCGGAAAACGAATCGACATCTCGATGTGATACAGCCTTTTCTTTTTGAGTTGGGAAAGAACGGCGAAGTCCATCCGAACCGAACCGTCCAATGAAGAATAAGAGGAGAGCAAAGCGCCAATGGCGCGCGAAGCGCATGCAGAGCAGGCACGGAGAAAAATAAGTGCGGAGGAGAAGCAGCCGAGCTCATTCCCTTCGCATTCTGGGCCCAAAGCAGTGCAGTCGTTCCTGGCCAAATCAAGGATTTGGGGCTTCTTGCTACGCTACTTAACTATATAAATCCTTTAGTAATATATAAATGGAAAGATAGATCCATCTATCCTATCCGATTTCCATTTTTATATCTAAAAAAGAATCGATTTCATTCAACGTTTGATTCAAAGAACTGCGCTTAGCCCCCCCGCTCATGAAACGGCTATGCTGCAATGGATGGCAGAGGGTCCGTAGTACCCAAAGTACTGGAGGGATCCAGTATAGGGAAGGGGCCTAGAAGTGCCTACTACTACACCATACTACACTTGGCTCTACACATTTACCGAGCTAACCCCTGTCCAGTGCCTGGCAGAGCTAAGGGGGCTTCAATCCTTATTCCTTATCCCCATCTTCGCCCAGGCTAACGGGGCCTTACTTATTCAGGGGGGGGAGCCTCGAGAAGCACTGTTGAGAAGAAGATCCTAGGCCCCTCTTCATTCTCTACAGGGTTTCTTTCCTTTCTTCAATATAGGTGACAACGAGCGAGGCAGAGATGGAAGAGATCAAAGACGAGAATAAGAAGCCAGTAAACTTCCTTTTTGATCATTTTGTTTGATAGAGGGGGATAGAAAAAAAGGACAAAACTGACTCGCATTTCTCATCGAACAAATACGAAAAAAGAATCATATTGAAAACTGAAACCTCACCTCTCCTCTCGTTTCACTCTCGAGGAACGCCTTTTCAGTCGAGTTACTGCGTTCCTAACTCAACCCCTTCCTTCTCCGAGCTTTGTATTATAAGTGATCCGAACCTGCCCGGAGTGAGCCTCCCATAGAGGCAAGTTGGTGAGCCGTATGATGGGCAACTATCTCCTGCGGTTTGGAGAGGACTCAGCTGTTAGTTAGTATCCCCTTGGTTTCGGGGTGGACCCTTTCACTCTATTTTATTATATACGCTTAGCGAAAAGAATGTTTTTTGATACACCTAGGACATGGATTCTATATGAACCAATGGATCGTAATAAGTCGTTACTACTAGCAATGACTTCCTTTTTCATTACTTCATCCTTGCTATACCCCTCTCCTTTGTTCTCAGTTACTCATCAAATGGCACTCAGTTTATATCTTTAAGTTCGATCATTGACAAGGTTCAAAGAAAGGGTGGGCCGTCGGTTTGAATCCAATATTATGCACTTCAAAAAAAAAATACGGAATTCACAACTAGAAAGGGAAAGGTTTCCGCTCCCCGCCATCAACGGTAATCAATTCTGAAAGAGTAAGCTCACCGCTTTCTCGCTCACTCTTTCTTCTTTCCCTTTGGCCGACCTCGCTTGACGGAAGCCTGCTTATTTAGCGACACAACAAAAGAAAGCGGCGGGAATAGAAAATGTGGCCCCTATCTCTTAAAAAGAAGAGGTCCAACGAAATGATACTGATAAAAGAGAGTAGAAGGTTCCACGAGTTATTGAAACCTCTTCTTACAGTCGAGTTATTCCGGCTTGATAGTATGAGAAGAGTTTGCACTGAAACTCTTTCTAGAGCAGATACCGGAGATAAAGAATCAAGAAACTAACTCCTCAAACAAGGAGTAGCCCAACCAGTTGTTCCGATTGACAGCATTGATTCCCTTATTCTTTCGACACCTGCGACTACTGCTACTACTCCTATTTCTGCAGATACCTTATTCCCTTGTTCTCTTGATGAAACTCTTTCTGCAACAAACAGCCATAAAAAAAATGTATTCTATTGTTGGCCTTTCTTTACCTGATGGATGAGCCATGCAGTGTCTGACTCCTGCTGATCTGAGGCGGGGTGAGCATGGCTTGTTCATCTATATTGCCCAGTATGGTAGAGAGAATCTTCATCGGTAGGTTCCCCAACCTTCAAAAGAAAGGACATGCACTTACTTAACTTAAGGAGACCTGCTTAGGTAAATTAGTGGGACCAGAGCTTCCACTGTATGGGTCATAGTTCTGCAGTACGCTCCTGCACGCCGATTCCCCAGAGTTGTGTATAGCTATAGAACTCAAATCCTGCTTTGAAGGTTCCCTTCCCCTTCGAGCATGGGTATCATCATGTGGTGAAGAGACTTCTATTGATAGATTATATAGATTATCCGAGGAGCCCTTACTGAACTTTGCCCTTATCCCCTATCGTATCGTGAACTCGTGAGTCATCTCTTTCTCGAGGAACGCCTTGTTTCTCTTATTCATTCCCATCCAGTTCGTCCACTTGGCATAAACAACCTCCTTTCCTGGTGCCTCTTACTCAACTTCGACGAAATCAATCTCATATGCCGAGATCAAGGTTCAAACAAAAACAAGAACAGAAATAGATCCAAGTCATTGGGAACGGGGATATGGAGGAAAAGGCAGCTGCTTCAACCTCAAGAAACCCCGATCCCAATCAGGTCAATGAAGCGCCTCCTCTGGCCCAGGAGGCGCTGCCACAAAACGCACCATCGGTGCTTGAGCTACGCCACCAACTGGATCACTTCACTTCCTCCTTAAATCGCATCTCTATGCGAAGTGATTATTTGCTAAGACTATATGAACGACTGAGGGTTAACGAATCCACCCCCCGAAAGACTCCTGAAAATAGTAGAGGGGATGCGCATAATTTCTGCCTTACAAGGGCAGGAAAGTCCAAGTTCCGGAAAAAAGGCGGGCGACGCCTTAGTAAACTTCATGCGGGAATGGGATCAGCAGCAAGGTTAGCGGTATTCCGGCGAAATGCTATTGATTTTAGGAGGACTATAATGAGGAGGACGACTGACCCACTCACGATCTACTAAAGGGCAAGTAGCTTGATTGGTTCGAATCCAATTCGTGAGCAGATGAGAAATTGTTGCACCGTGGACTCTGATTCAGTAGCGGCAGCAAATCCTTCTCTATTCTACGATCTGATCTTGTCTGTTGCCCGATTTGAAATTTCCCTTATAACTCCTTCTGGGCGTCCAGCTAAATAGGGGTCCTAGGCACATTTCTAGCTTAGGCAAACAAAAGAAATGAAGAGAAAGCACCGAGGTCTGTGCCCATCTAATCCTTTAGCAGCTCCGGTATCGGCATCGGCAACAGTTGGCTCAAAAGTTGCTTCGCTAGGAGTGTGCTAGCACAGATGAATATTCCGTAGATTACTAAAGGGAAGGAAGAGGTGTGCTTCAAAGCATCCGAAAAGCAAAGAAGAATGGTACAGCACATCGGTCGAAAAGGCGGTCTATTCCCGGTAAAGGTCTTTTCTATTCACTGGACACAGCATAGCAGCAAAGAAAATATAAGGCAAATTGCTGCGCTAGACCTTCAAGGGAAAGAAATCCTCGCTGATTGATCTATATTACATGACCGATTGAAGAAAGGCGGGAAGGCTAGAGACTTCTTTTGCTTCTCTTATCTAAGAGCAGCTTTCTCCGTTCTGAAGCACAAGCACAGTTATTAATGGTGCTAGAGAGGTCAGGACATACTCTCGAGCTATGATGAACTGAGACGACTCTTCGACTTCTTCTTTCTTTACGCCAATAAGAGCGCATTCAATGGATGATTTCTGGCATTTCCATCTTTGACTTTTCTTGATCTTCTGTTAGCGAAGCATAATCTGTATTGGTTGGGGGGGGGATCCGTTCATCTGTTTTCATTCATCTGTTTCCAGCACATCCAGACAAAACGTTAATCCCCTGAAATGTTAAATAAAAGCAGCACGAAAATCCGCATTTTTAGGGTTTTTCGACTTGAATCAATTCCTTATATCCCGTGTTTTCAGCCTCATCAGTACGTGAAGACCCGGTTTCAGATCCTCTATTTTAGGAATGTTGTAAGATATTTATTTTGATTGACGAGGTCAAAACAGCCTGAAAAAGTGCTAATATCCCGGGATTTTTGGATGCATTTTTATGAATCAGTGGAGCTTCGAAAGATTTCAGCTTATGCTTAACACATGCAAGTTGAAACTTCAATAATAGGAAAAGATGACTACGATAAGGACAGCTCAGCATGGCTATTAGTAGGACTCCCCTTGGGTACCTAAGACAGGCAGAGGCAGTAAGCCCAATAAGAAGTCCTCGTTGCTAACGTTTACTTGCCCCACACATATTACTGGAGTCCGAGAAAGAGAAGGGGTGATCAGAGCTGTCTTTTTCTTTAAGGTCTTCCTTTATCCTTAATAAAAGCTTTTCGAAGCAATGAATTCCTTCTTTCTTGCCCCCTCTATTCTTTTTCTTTGTGCAAGTTACTTTCTTGGGAATCAGTCTGCCTTTGTTTTTTACACGTCAACATCCCCTGATTGATAAAGGGAGTGAGCACTTCACTGAAGTATGTGGAAGTGGTGGGATATCGCGAATCGAGATGTAGATGAAGTCGTCTTTGAGTCATGTAGAATGCGATACTTTAACGACACGAGACCCTGAAAAGGGATTCAGTAGGCGTGGAGTTCTAGATTGCCATAATGGATGAGCTTTTTGGCTCATTGTGCTTGCGAGACGATCCTCGGATTGGTTCTTTTCAAAGTCTGTTGGGAAGACGTAAACGCCAATCTTCCTTGCCCGTCTCAATTCAACACAAAGCACCTGTCCTACTTGCTTTGCGGGAATTGAAAGCCTCTTTGCTATACTAGCCCTTGCCCTGTGAGTGAGCCTAGACTCTCTCTATTCGAGTGAGTTCCACTTCTCTTGAAGCGTAATACCCTTACTGCCAGTTTCCTATTCCCGGATCTAAGGGTTTGCTTTCTAATTCATAGATTGCCCGAGAGGAAGTCTAAGGTTTCAGCTTCAAGTGGACAGCTTTCTTCCTTTTCGAGGTGTATTCAGCGAGCATCATCTTCTGCCCCATCCGATGATGATCACTCATCAACAACTAGGCCTCCGTCACGTTCTGTTTCTGAATCAGGTTAGGATACGGCTCTAGAAGCTTCTGCTTTCTTGTCTCATGAGAGGCCGTAGAAAATGCTTCCGTGAATGGAGCAGCAGAAATAGCTACTAGATCGGGAAGTGCCTTAACTACGAAATTCTCTCTTTCTGTCACGTAGGGAAAAGATGCTGAGGCTCCTTATCCTTTCCTTTCAAGTCGAATGTCAGAATCAGGTAAGGTAGCTTATGTCATAGGAACAACAGGTGGGGACCTAGCCCCCGGCGACTGAGGGGATAATACCTAATATATCTATTCTCAGGGATAGTGAACATGATATAGAGTGAGTGCCAAAAGGCATTTTTTGAAACTATTCTTTAGTCGCAAGGTTCAATGACGCCGACGAAGGGAACCAGCGGAAAGGCTCTCAAAGGCAGGCGCGTAGCATAGGCAGACTCATTAAGAGAAGTGCGACCTCAGCACCGCATCTATCGACCGGAGGAACCCCCGTTGACTCCCGTTTCCCGATATACTTCTTTTGTATGGGCCTATTCCTATCTATAAGTGGAATTCCTTTTCTAGGCCTAAATGACCTTCTTTTATGGAGGGTTCATCTTCCTATAGTGACCTATTGCACCCCCTTTTCTTGGGTTTCACACTATAAGACTAATGAGCTCTAAAATGATGCTTGGGGATTGCTTCTGCCCGTACTGTGCTTCCAACTACCGCCCACTACATCAGTATAGTTTCAAAAAAGCAGCAGCTAGCTTTATTGACTCAACCAGAGGAAGAAAGAAAGCGAGGTACGTGACGATTTACTATTAGCTTGTGTAACTCATCCCACCTAACGAATCAATTAGCTGTACTGATGAGCTAGTTTGCTAGATTTCTTCTTTCTTCTGGTTGGCTTTCCCACAGTCGATTCAAGAGCAAGCAAGAGAGAGTATATGTATTTCTTTCAAGCCGGGGCAAAGGGATATTTTGACTAGCTAACTTCCCTATTCTATCAAGACATTCAGAGATGCTTCTTCTCCCTTCCTGCGCTTAGGCCCATTCCTAATCTTATTGCTAAGGCTGCACCTAAAGCACCAAGAGCCACTCTATTCCGTACTGAAGGAAGTCGCTTATCTCTGCTCTTCATGCTTCTCATTCCTATTATCTGTAAGCGGGAGCGGGCTACCCAATAGAGTTCTCAAACAAACTCCTCTCCTTTCACTAACTACGTACCTATTATTATGAAAGATTCCATTTGCATTTCATTTAGGAACCGGGCTTGTACCATGTCTCCCGAACAATCTCAGTACATATGGCGCAAAACGATTCCACATATCGAGGGCGGAATGGGATCGGGTGTTCTCACGTCCCACCGTAAACGCCCGCTACGAAGTGGTTGTANAAGCACCTGTCCTACTTGCTTTGCGGGAATTGAAAGCCTCTTTGCTATACTAGCCCTTGCCCTGTGAGTGAGCCTAGACTCTCTCTATTCGAGTGAGTTCCACTTCTCTTGAAGCGTAATACCCTTACTGCCAGTTTCCTATTCCCGGATCTAAGGGTTTGCTTTCTAATTCATAGATTGCCCGAGAGGAAGTCTAAGGTTTCAGCTTCAAGTGGACAGCTTTCTTCCTTTTCGAGGTGTATTCAGCGAGCATCATCTTCTGCCCCATCCGATGATGATCACTCATCAACAACTAGGCCTCCGTCACGTTCTGTTTCTGAATCAGGTTAGGATACGGCTCTAGAAGCTTCTGCTTTCTTGTCTCATGAGAGGCCGTAGAAAATGCTTCCGTGAATGGAGCAGCAGAAATAGCTACTAGATCGGGAAGTGCCTTAACTACGAAATTCTCTCTTTCTGTCACGTAGGGAAAAGATGCTGAGGCTCCTTATCCTTTCCTTTCAAGTCGAATGTCAGAATCAGGTAAGGTAGCTTATGTCATAGGAACAACAGGTGGGGACCTAGCCCCCGGCGACTGAGGGGATAATACCTAATATATCTATTCTCAGGGATAGTGAACATGATATAGAGTGAGTGCCAAAAGGCATTTTTTGAAACTATTCTTTAGTCGCAAGGTTCAATGACGCCGACGAAGGGAACCAGCGGAAAGGCTCTCAAAGGCAGGCGCGTAGCATAGGCAGACTCATTAAGAGAAGTGCGACCTCAGCACCGCATCTATCGACCGGAGGAACCCCCGTTGACTCCCGTTTCCCGATATACTTCTTTTGTATGGGCCTATTCCTATCTATAAGTGGAATTCCTTTTCTAGGCCTAAATGACCTTCTTTTATGGAGGGTTCATCTTCCTATAGTGACCTATTGCACCCCCTTTTCTTGGGTTTCACACTATAAGACTAATGAGCTCTAAAATGATGCTTGGGGATTGCTTCTGCCCGTACTGTGCTTCCAACTACCGCCCACTACATCAGTATAGTTTCAAAAAAGCAGCAGCTAGCTTTATTGACTCAACCAGAGGAAGAAAGAAAGCGAGGTACGTGACGATTTACTATTAGCTTGTGTAACTCATCCCACCTAACGAATCAATTAGCTGTACTGATGAGCTAGTTTGCTAGATTTCTTCTTTCTTCTGGTTGGCTTTCCCACAGTCGATTCAAGAGCAAGCAAGAGAGAGTATATGTATTTCTTTCAAGCCGGGGCAAAGGGATATTTTGACTAGCTAACTTCCCTATTCTATCAAGACATTCAGAGATGCTTCTTCTCCCTTCCTGCGCTTAGGCCCATTCCTAATCTTATTGCTAAGGCTGCACCTAAAGCACCAAGAGCCACTCTATTCCGTACTGAAGGAAGTCGCTTATCTCTGCTCTTCATGCTTCTCATTCCTATTATCTGTAAGCGGGAGCGGGCTACCCAATAGAGTTCTCAAACAAACTCCTCTCCTTTCACTAACTACGTACCTATTATTATGAAAGATTCCATTTGCATTTCATTTAGGAACCGGGCTTGTACCATGTCTCCCGAACAATCTCAGTACATATGGCGCAAAACGATTCCACATATCGAGGGCGGAATGGGATCGGGTGTTCTCACGTCCCACCGTAAACGCCCGCTACGAAGTGGTTGTGGATTCGAACCACTGACACAAGGATTTACAGTCCTTTGCTCTAACCAGCTGAGCTAGTGGATTCGAACCACTGACACAAGGATTTACAGTCCTTTCCTTTGCTCTAACCAGCTGAGCTAGTGTATTTGAACCACTGACACAAAAAGGATTTCCAGTCCTTTGCTCTAAGGATTTCCAGTCCTTTGCTCTAACCAGCTAAGCATCATCGGCTTGGTCAGCCTTTACCTAACCAACTACCTAATACTACGCAGGCTCATCAAACAGCGCTTTCTAGCTTTCTTCGGGATTTAGCCCGAACTGTTCGGCAGATTCCCACGCCTTACGCACCCGTTCGCCACTTTGTTCTCAACTCTTCCCACCTCCTCGGCGAGACAAGCTACCTTCAGCTAGGAGCCTCTTTTCCTTCTGCCTAGCTCCCCGAGAACAACGTTCGACTTGCATGTGTTAAGCATATAGCTAGCGTTCCTTCTGAGCCAGGATCAAACTCTTCTTTTGACTATGATTGGGCCCTGCAGTGGTAGAACCTCGTGAACCGGGCGTACTGACTTCCCAACTTTCTGTCGACCTTTCTTCTCTTATGAGATTGAACTTTCGAGAGACTGAACCTTCGGGTAGAGAAAGCTAACTCAGCTAAGAAGAACAAGGCTTTTTCTAGTTTGCTTTCCAACTTTCTGTGGGCCTTTCTTCTCTTATGATATTGAACTTTGTTTCGTTTATTCTATCTATCTCTGTCCCTACCTTATACTATCCTTCCTATCTGCCATTTACCTGTATTCTATCGATAGGAATGGTTGTGGTATGTCAGTTAGTGTGCGTAGCTGCCTTGTTTCTGTGTATGCACAGCAGTTGTTGCTGTGTGAAGCATGTATGGAGGTAGTGAGGAACGGCCTGCGAACTACCGTAGCTAAGCGGCACTAGTTCCTGTTGCTTGCAGCTTCAGTATAATTCATATCCCTTGTTGGTATGTGAGTAAGTTGTTGCATGAATGGTCAGGTAGGTAAGCGTAGCAGTATTCCTGTTCATGCATGTATCCCTGCAGGTTGTCTTCCCTCTCTCTTTCTTCGAGGAACGCCAATTACTCGACTAATAGGTCTGCAAGCCTAGGAGGAACATCGCTAGCTAGGTTTGGGTGTGGGGGCCTTTTCTAAAGAATATCCCTGTTTGTTCGACGGGAATAAGTGACATGATGGGGTAAGGGCGCTAGCAGCTCCGGCGTTCTTCAAGTTCCCGGCTGTTTGCTGCTTCCCCTTCCTTTGCTTTCCTTGCACTGAACACTCACCTAATCTTCTGGGTACTGCTCGGACTAGTTTCATTCAATAGTTGGTTTTCCGAGGTTCTTTGACCTTTTAGTCGAGTAATTGGCGTTCCTCGGTTAGGTTTGTTTGTTCCTTTCAGCAGTATCGAATAAGCCAAATGAAAGTGAGAAAGCAGGCCATCTATCCGTTGACTTGCCCCGGAGTGAGCTGCATCGACAGAAGAGAGAAGAGAGAGTGGAAGCGGTAAGTGAACTTGACTTGAAAGAATTTCTCACTCCCGGAAGTTTTGGTAAGGACGTCAAAAATATACGTCCGAGGGTTCAATTCAGTGATCGGATGCCCCCGGACTAAAGTCAAGATTTCATATCGAAAACAATAGCTAGATACTCTGCGGGACCTCTTTGAGAAGCTCTCACTGTTCATACATTCTTTCTAATTAATCGTTTTACCGGGAATACTATAGTGTAAGATTCATTCCTTTGTTCACAACAATTGCCCGCAAGATGTTTCTCTCTACGTTGGATGATCGGAGATCCATGGATCACTGACGGTATCTTCCCATGGCTAAGCGTCTAAAATACTTGACTATATCGAAGATTTCTCTCCTAAAGTGTTTTCCCTCTGTCAGAAACAACCTCAAGCTTGGAATGGATCTTACACTATTGGTTTACCGGCCTACGCGGATCGTACGCAATGTACCTGACCTAGATTGCGAGGCACTACTTGGGCCCTAGCTTCTCGATGCCAATTCCGTAATGAGGCTCTTCTTCGATTAGATTGAGATCTGATTTTCTTCTCTTACTCAATTATCGATTTCTAGATTGAATGGGAATGGGTCAGCACGGTGCAGCGGCAACTGAAATATATCTAAACGGATTGCGTGGTACCCCCGGACCGAAGGAAGGGCTTCCAAAATGAATTGAATCAATGAAATGTTGCTTGGTCTTCACTGAGAACTTGAGTAAGGAGTAGATTCTTTTGGGGTAACTCGAAAAAGGCTTTTTTCTAGGCAATCGACCACTGCATCTGCATTTCACAAAAAGATGGTTCCGCTCGCCACAAGCAAGCCCTTCCCTTTACAGGGAAGCTTTCACCCTTCCCCATCGAGTCGAGTAGCCTCGAATAACTCTCTTCTCCCTCTTTACTTTCGCGTACTCCTCTGAATGAAGAACAATGAGTTTAAGCCTATTTTCCCCACCGGCAAGAACGAACTTCTATGTGTGAAGCAAAGAAGAACAGAAGATCTATTCGAGTAGTTAGCTAGAATCTTGGACGTCCGGGGGACCTACTTCGCGGGATCGCCTAAAAGGACCTGAACCGCACGGGGCGAAGTTTCTTTGGGCGGCGTTTTCTCGATTGATATCTAACTGGAATGAGATGAATCTTTTCTTATGAGATTTACTGGAATGAGAATCTTCTTAATATACGTATTTTGGTAAGCAATCGATAAGCCTGGTTTGGTTTGTCTGTCTCTTCTTTTGGAACGAGATTTCACTGTTTCTTCTTTGGGAACTCAAAGTTGTTTAGCTGTCATTCTTCCTTCCGGTACCCTTTCAGTCCAACTGAGCCAATTAGGAAAACTTTGTACTCGGAATGCGTCTAACGACCCTTAGTTTTGTTTCAAATACTTTCTGACTTTACTGGGAATATGCTGTACTCTCTCCCTTCCATTGGCCCTCCTTGGAGAGTTCACTCACATCCTTAGCCTGCAAACAAACTCCCAACCGACAAGCAAGAAATGAACGGAAAACTAGCTCCTATGCGCCTGTAGGTAGGACGTTAGAAAAAGTCTCCGAAGAAGGCTTGCAGACCTCCTCTGAGAGAAGAAAGGGTTCCTCCGCTTCGCTCACTTCACTGGCTTACTCACGCAGTTCCCAAACAATGAAGAGGAGAAATCCGTCGGATAGATGAGAACCGAGCAGAGTCCCTTATAGGAGCCAGAAAGAACTATTGAGTCTCGCTTGCTTTAGAGTTGTTCTTCTGTTTTCATTAGTCTCTCGCAACAGTTTCTGAATCCCGTGAAATTGAGATTTTCGAGTTGAATGAATTCACGCAACCCCCGTGTTTTGAGCTTCATCACTTCATCTTTCCTTTTTGCTTACTTTTCCATCTATATGAAATGCAATTTTTCGATGTTTTTGTGGTCTTACTAAGTCAAATAGGTTTGCTAGGTTTTGACCCATGTGGAACGTCACTTTTTGAAAAAAGATTGCTCTGTAGAAGGGAAATCATCGAGGTAGGTTTTGCCCCTATATGAACGTCACTTTTTGATTCCTTCTGCCCGAGACAAAGCTGAGCTGTCAAATAAGACCAACAAGGGATAAGATAGGGAGGCTCCTCTAAAGAGCTGGAACAAAGATGTTGGAGAGTCCCATCTTGCCAATGAGATGATGAAATTGTGTTGGAAAGAGCGGCTTAGTCAATACATCAGCCAATTGATGTTCAGTCTTGATATGTCAAAGTTGAGTTCCGCTATTACTCACGTTAGCAGAGGTGAGGTCCTTCTGAGCTATCTCTGTTCTTTCTGGAGAGAGGGAAGGAGTATCCCTTAGCTGTTTCCTTCATTCCTCATCTGTAGGGAACGAAGAACCGTATGTTCGAGTGAACGGCTAAGCCTCTAAGGTCTGTCATTAGAGAATCTATCAATATCTCTTCTTATTGTTCTGAATAGTATGAATAGGGGAGGTTCCCTTAGGTCTATTCCTCTTATCTCATAGGCTGTTAAGGGAAGGCCATTGTAGTGAAGGAGGGCATCTAGCGGCTAGGCACCTAAGGGCTGGCATTTAGAGAATCTCCTCTTCTTCTTATCTCTGGTATGGATAGAGAGTAGTAAGACTGTGCCTTGTTCCTCTGATCTCATCTGTAGGGAATAGATGGAGTACCGAGTAAGACGTAGGCGGGGACGCCATCTGTTACCGGCTAAGGTATAAACGGAGGCGTTTCAGTGGTTAAGCTGGTATCCGAGTTCCTGTTGTGTTAAGCATGAGACTGTCCTCACAGCCAATTCTTCTTCAATTGCAGAAGCCATTCTAACAACCTATTCATATGCGGGGGATTCTGTCAAAGATCCTACAACAGGGGATTCTATGCCATCAAGACAGCCAGCCTGGTATTCCAAGTCAAAGCAAAGAAAAAGATATTGACTGGGCAAGGAAGTTTGTTAGCCAGGTTAGATCTATTAGATTGGGATGTTCTTAGCGGATATCAAAGGTGCAATCCATAAATAGCATGTGTTAAGCATGGAGAGTAGATTCATTTCACCGATACTTCGATCACTTATCAATAGCCCCGGAGAGTGCTTTTCTATTCTTCCCCTTATTCGCTACGTATTCCTTTCACTGAGAAAGCTCCATCGCTCCTAATATAATACTACGACAAGGCTCGCTTATGGCTCGCTCCCGCGGCTCTAGTAGTCCATTTGATTCAGAATTCTTCTTTCTTTTTGTTGATGGTGCGTTGGAAGGGACGAAAGGAGCTAGTGAGCAATGACATCCGCGCGGGGAATAGGCTTGCTTCTTCCTAGCGATCGGGCGGTCCTTCCTCTTCCTGTTCACCGCCGGTTCGCCCACTGCTGCTTTCATAGATGTCGTGCGAAGGGGTTCCTCCGCTAATGGATGCCTATTCCGTTCTCCTGCTCCTGCTCCAGCTCAAGAGTTCAAACGGACAGAAGAGAGTCCTGCTACCGAAAAAAAAGTGCATAATATTGGATTCAAACAAAGGGGATTTATTCACGAATACGATTTCTATTGATTGAAAGCTTTCCTATTACTGATGGCAGGCGGGCGAGACGGAGACCGCCGAAGAAGTGCCTTGACGCGCCGCAGCCACTACTTTGACTCCTTTTATGCAATTATGAACTCCACGGAACTTTCTCGATTCCAACGCAACTTATCCTTTTGGAGCTGACGTAACAAACTAGGCGAGCCTCCCAACGAAGCCAACATAAATCCTAT